TAATTAATAACTGCATATCTTCACGTCTTGTTTCTTCTGAACAACAAAAGCCAACTATCGCAGAAAATTGGCAAAACCAGAAAACTTTCGCCTTTGTTTGTCTTTAGTTTGTCTCGAGGTACTGTGCAGTTTTGGGGTATTTTTTTTTGTGTGTGCAACCAACTGATTGGTTGAAAAGTACATGAATTTTCATCAACCAAGATTATATTTGGTTGCAGCCCCAGACTGTTCATCTTCTGTTTAAAAATATCTTTTATTGTGTATATCACCAAAAAAAAACATGTTTTGTGTTTATTACAGCACCACTTTTGGTTTTGTTCTGTACACATTTTGTAAGACCTTTACCTGACTATGTGAAGTGCTTTAAGATGGCGTATGTTGTAAAAGTGACTTACATTTCATGAATCGGGTTAAATTATCAAATCTGCCCTCTCTAGCCCATCAGTATTACATATCTAAAACCTACAGATAATTATGGACTGTAGGGGGCCCTCTAACTCCTCTTTTACTACACTTTCAATGTAAAGAGCAGCTTACGGCACTACATCACATCCTGCAGTGACCTCCCCCTGCAGCTCTTCACATCTTCAGGAATCTGGCAGTTTCTGTCGAACAAAACATGGACATCAATAGACAAGTTCTCCTCGGACTATTCTTCCTTTTGCTGTGGACCTCAGGTAACAGACAATAAACCAACTGTTACTTCAAATTTCAAGATTCTGTACATGTAACAGTAACTTTCATTGATTTAAACACAGGTTTTGTTGATGGCAATGTAGTCACCCAGACCTCCACACTGTGGAAAAAGCAGGGTGAAAATGCCACGATGGACTGCAGCCACACAAAGGGTGACTTCTACTTCCAGATGTACTGGTACAGACAGCTGCCAGGAGAAACTATGAAACTTATCGTGTTCACAACGACAACCAACAGAAATCATGACTTTGGAGATTCCAGCAAAGACAAATTCTCAGCCACCAAGCCTGACGCTGGGAGCGGAACATTCACAGTGAAGAATCTGACGCCAGAAGACAAAGGCTTGTATTTCTGTGTTGTCAGTCAACAACACAGTGATACAGACTCATGCGAAAGCTGAACAAAAACCCCAAGTGCAACGGTTACCAAAACTAATGATCTGTAGGGGGAAGTGGAGTACCACACATACCAGCAGTTACTCTTTACTTGAACAAAGCTAGATCAGAGAAGGTCACAGAAGGTTTTGACACACCCACTTCCAAACCGTCATATCTGAGGAACAACACTGACATTTGAGGCTGTGAAACATGGACATTATTCGCCATATTCTACTCACTTTAATTTTATATCTGTGTTGGATGAAAGGTAAACCAAAGGAAAACAATCTTACTGCGGTGTAGTCTTCAGTTACCTGTTTCTCAGGGTGGTTTAGTAGCTATGAGAGTCAAAATGCTCACACTTAACAACCTGCATTATTGTGCACACAGGGGCAATTGATGGCTGTGTTGTGCCCCAGACCTCCATACTGTTGAAGTACAAGGGTGACGATGATATTTCTCACCAGATGTTCTTGTGCAGACAGCTGCCAGAGGAAAGTATAAAACTAGTCGTGTTCACAACAGTCAGGAGCCAAGATCACGACTTTGGAGACTTCAGCAGAGAGAAATTCTCAGCCATAAAGCCTGATGCTCACAGTGAAGAATCTGGAGATAAAGGCTTGTATTTCTGTGCATCAGACACAACAGCGGCACAGTTGATGGGAACAATGTTCAAAAACCTCTGGACTTTAGTTTCTCTTAACACTCTCAACCCAAAGTAATTTCTGGGCGCTTTCCTTTCACACACATTTTTTACTCCCTGTGCCTCATTTTTTGCTGCAATATAAAACCCAGCACCTCTATAGAAAATGCACAACCATGACCAGAAGTAGAGAAAACTCAAAACTGTCTTCTGTGCAGTATGACACAGTTACAATGCCACAGATGTTCCTGTTATTTTGCCCATCCCATGAACATAACGAAGAATCCAAAGCTAGACAGTAAAGGCTTGTATTTTGTATTTCTGTGTTGTCAGTCAACACAGTAAAAAAAAACGACAAAAGACGCATTTGACAGCAAACAAAACACCTCAAAACATTGTTGGAAAAAGTGTTTGCAGAACCATTTCCTGCAGGGGGACCTCCAGTACTTTTACAGATCATCAAGCAGCTTGTCAACATCCCACCTCCCATCACACACATTGATATGGACTCTGGTTTCTTACTCTTCTCAGATCACAACAATGATGACAGCAGGTCTGATCAAACTCTCTGCAGCTCTGCTCTGGATTGGAGGTACTGCACATTATGACACTGAGGACTGAAAGCAGAAGCTGCT